TCTCTTTCACTTTCCCTCTTGTGGCCTGGAGGGTTGAACTCAGGCCCTCACATTGACCTACATCCCAGTCTATTTTTGTATTTGAAATTTTTTTATTCTGACACAAGGTCTCACTAAGTCACTGAGTTGCTTGACCTGGGCCCAAACTAGAAAGCCTCCTGCCTCAGCCTCCCAGAGAGCTGGGATGACAGACGTGCACTACCATGCCGGGGTGTCATATTCACAGAAAAGGATAGTTCTTTACGCAAGATACCCTGGCTGCAGGTCCCTCACCCGGGTGTCCTCAGTGGTTCCACTGCTTTCTGTCTCTCACAGGGCCACCTGAGTGAGGGGTACGGACAACTCTGCAGCATCTACCTCAAACTGCTGAGAACAAAGATGGAGTACCACACCAAAGTGAGTCCTGCGCCCCTCGGGAGTGTGCGCCCAATGCCCTAGCCGGCTGGGAGGCAATAATGCGGCCGCAGCCAGGCCCCAGAGGTCCACGGCATGGACGGGGCTTTGACCTTTGTGTTCAGAATCTCCTGTTCTCCTTTCACAATCGAGGACTCACATCCACCAGGCTGCCTTAGGGAGACGTCACTGATGACCCACTCCACTGCTAAAAACTGTTCCTCGTGAGTCGTCACACCACATTAACCTGCTTTTAACCAGTGTCAGGCTTGGTTGGCATTTCAGCACCCCTCTGTGCGGGGAAACTGCCGGGGACCAGAGGACGCGTAAGCGAAGGCACCGGGTCTGCTCCAAGAGCTGCACAGGGCGTGGGCAGAGGGACTCACACTCTCCACTGTGGCCTGGAGCAGCGTGAAGGAAGCCTCCGGGTCGGGAGGGGCCAGTCTCTGTGACCTGGGGCCAGGTGTAAATCAGGCGGAGCCAAGGGGCCACCTTGTGGGAGAGAAAGCAGTGTGGGCCAGGGAGGAAACGGAGAAGGGAAGAGGTGGAGGAAATTCCCGCTCTTGTGTCTTTCTCCGTGCTGTCTGCAATGAATTTGAAGGGTAGCTTTGCCTGTCCACACTGCTGTCCCCTGTTGAGCGTTTTACAGCGGACAAACTTAACAGGACAGCAGCCATTTAGCATAGGTGTCACTCCTTGGAAAATGCCTTTTGGAGAGCGATTGAGTCGCCAGCACCCTCGTGTGACTGCTCATTGGTGAAGCTTGGATTTGAACCCAGGCCTGTGGGACACCACAGACACCTCCATGGCTGTTCCTCCTCACCTTCCATGTGTGTCGCTCAGCAGCTACCGTGGGCCAGAACTAGGAAGCTCAGAAGAGAGGTCTTGCCCCACCCTGGCCTCTAGAGTCTTCCAGGGAGGGACAATAGCAGGAGGGCATAAGTGATGTGGCTAAGCTCAGGCTTGGGGGACAGTAGTTATCTGGCACTTTGCCCTCTTGGTTGGCTGCTGGTAAGGAATCCAGCAGGTGTGAGTGGGTGAGAATACAGGAGCAGAAGTAAAAGATGGAGACGAGTAGGCCTGGGGTCCTGAGAGGACAGAAGAGGTGTCCTGTGCCCTTGTGTCCTCTGTCTGTACCACTTGTAGCCCACAAGCAAGTACCCAGTCCAGAGTGGCTGAGAGGTGACAGGATGGAGGAACAGGGAGGGGCAGTCCTGGGCACAGAAAGATCTGGCCCTCCTTTGACAGCAGAAAGAGGGAGGGAAGTAGAGGACTGGAAGTTAGGAAGGGAGTGAACAGTTGGGGCTGAGGCCTCTTGCTTAGGGCAGAATACTGGTTGAGAAGGGAGCTGGTACCAATGGTCAGGGGTGTAGGCAAGGGGTCTGTGTCAAGGACTTTTGAAGGGTACTATTATAGACTGAATGTGCCCCCACTTCATATATTGAAACCTCAGCCCCCAGGGTGGTGGGGTGGGGGCTTAAGGTCAGAGGTCATGAGGGAAGATTTCTGTGTACCTCATGAGGGACAAGCCAGAATGCGGTCCTCACCGGGAACAAGATTTGCCAGCACCTTGACCTTGGACCTTGAGAACTGAGAAGTCACTGCCAGTGTTCAGCCCGAGCTGACAGAGATGGATGTGAGGGCCAGAGAGTACAAACGAATAGTGACACCAGCTATGAGCCCTTCTTTGGAGACATTTGGCGGCTGGTCCTAAGTGTAGTGTGTGACAAATACCCAGGCCCAGTGGGCTTTCATGGCAGTGTGACAGGAAGATGACTGTTTAGATGGGCCGGGAGGGTGGAGGAGCATCAGGCCACCAGCCCTAACTTCATCCCAGTCTTGATGAAGGGAAGGAGCATCCAGAAAGGGGCCAAAGAGGCTGAGAAAGGAAGAGACTGCAAGGATGAGGCCCAGATGGTGCGGCAGAATGAAGGATGTGGTGAGGAGGTCTCTAGAGAGACAATGCCAGGTGATATAGTAGGGTCTCAAGTGCATGTCAAAGGTCCTGGAATTGTAGAAGTAAGATTTACAGGACCTGGCTGCCACAGAGGATGGCTGTTGCCTAGATGCCAGGGACTTGGGTGAATGTAGTATAGTGACCAGAAGCCAAGTTTGTGGAGCAGAGAAACCTGGGGACCCGAGAAGAAAGCAAGTGCGGCCCAGCCTTGGCAGGCAGGATGGTGGAGGATGAGCCCACCCGTACAAGACCCCACAGCTCCCTTTCATAGGGCAGAGGTGAGGCTGGAGGCTTCCCTGAAATCTGGGGCCGAAGCAAGTTGGGGGAAGGCTGGCCAGCTGCAGAATGTGGACACCTGACGCCCAGGATAGTGGGGGGTGGCATGAAGGTTCCCCAGGCTGCCCGCAGTTCCTGGAAGAGGATAGAACGTTGTGACCACACTCACAGGATGCAAAGGGAAGTGGGAGCCAGAATCGTGTCTCTGCTGCTTCCTGTGGCCTGGGCCTTCCCTGCCCCTACAGCAGCTGCCAGCTGGGACTTCCTGGTAGGAGAATGGAGGAGGGGACCCCAAACTTTGGAGCCCCAGCTGTCCCCTTCTGAAAGATGGAAAGTGATGAACTGTGAAGATAGCTCAAGGTTGTGTGTTTGTGATCCCTAGGATAAAACCCAGGGCCTTGTACCTGCTAAGCAAGCACTCTACCCCTGAGCTCTACTCCCAGCCTCAAAAGCAGGGTTGTAAGGCTCAGCAGGCTTCAGATGCCAGCAGTGAGCTGGTATCTTTGTGTGCCTGGCATGAGCAGTGGGCTCGAGGCTGACGCTACACAGATTAATTGCGAAGAAGTGGCCTTGCCCAGGGTGCGCATGCCCACAGAGGCGCTGGAGCTTGCTAATCATTCCCAAGGGAAATAATTCACAGAGCGATTCCAGCCTCACCAAGTGCACCCTCTGCCTGCAGCTCCAGCACCCTCTGGGCCTTGCACCCAGTTCAGCCCACTGTTTCTCTATACCCAAAAGCCACCCAGTTTTTTTTTTACTCAGACTGACCCAAGTCCATGCTGCAGCTTCTGACCAACCTGTCTCAACCCTACCCTAGGGTCCTTAGTTCCCAAATGAGAACAACTTCCTACTTGAGGACTGCTGTGGGGAAAAGAAGAGGGTGCTTGGCAGGTGTGCGGTATCCCCTGCCTCTTGCACCTGCCCTGCTGGTCCTGCTCCCCACTGTGCTTCCACTACAAAGGTTCCTGACCCAAGCCCCCACTCTCCCACCTGTCAGTCAATCAGAGGCTGCTGAAAACCCACATAAATTCAGCCTTCCCTAGCCTGATACAGTAGTTTTGCTGAGGGCCTGGGAATTTACATGGCTGACACATTCCCTGGGGCCACACTTGGTGAAGCACAGTGGAAGCTTGGGTGGAATAAAAAAAAAAATCATGGCCTCCTACTGCCTCTCTCCCTCATCTCAGGGTTTCTTTTCATTTATTTATTTATTTATTTTAGGGAAGGGACTACAGGGTGTTCAGGGTCTTACTACTAGATCAAACTCCAAGGGATCTGCCTGTTTACAGCCTCACTAGCTCTAGGATTACAGGTGTGTGACACCACGCCCAGTCTCAATTGCCATCTCAGTATGCCCTGGGGGCAGGGCCTGTATAGCACATTTCAGGATTTTTGTCTCAGAAATTAACTGCATTTGCTCATCTGTGCCCTGCACCCTTGTCCTGTGGCCCCATCTTCTTCAGATGAACCATGTGGACAAAGAGGGCATGATTTTTCTCTACAAATTATTTTTCTCTACAAGTTATTTTTCTAGTTCGTTTCACTATTTTGCAAAACCTGAGAAGAGGATAGATGTCCCTTTTACTTTTTTTTTTTTAATCTTTTCTATTTATTTATGTATTTGGCACAGGGTCTCACTGTATACCTCAAACTCGATCCTCCTGTCTCAGCCTCCCCAGCGCTGGGACTACAGACATGCACCACCACCATCATGCAGGGCTGGGGATCCAACCCAGGTCCTTGTGCTTGCCAGGCAGGTGCTTAGACTACCAAGCTATTGCACCAGTCTGAATGTCCCTTTCTTAAACTCAGCAGCATCTCTGAGAAAGGTCAAAGGACAGTGGGAAGGGAATGAACCAAGGATGAATCGATGTGCACTGCCCTGTGAGCAGTAGATGGCTGACAGGCGACCACTGTCCCCCTGGGGCTGCATTCTACCATGGAGAGAGACGGCAAGGAGGAGCTCTGTCTCCTAGCTCAGAGGGTGACACAGAGCGTGTGTCCTTGCTGCATGTCAGTCATGGCTCTCTGTGTGGGAGGTCGTGTGGACTGGCCCAACCTGCCTGAGAAGAGTGGAGCCGCCCTTAGATGTGTCTGCTGTGCAGACGCTGTAGATGGCTTGCTGCCTGGGCTTTGTTGGGCTCCAAGGAGACTCTTCATGTGCCCTGTTCTGACCTCTCCTCTCTGTTCCCTCCCAGAACCCCAGGTTCCCAGGCAACCTTCAGATGAGTGACCGGCAGCTAGACGAGGCTGGGGAAAGTGATGTCAACAACTTGTAAGTAGTGACTCTCATAGCTCTGGGCCCGGTGGGGGAGACACTTGTGATTCTGTCACTTCCTGTTAGGGTCATAGAGAGAGGGCCTGATGGCCAGGGCCAAGGTTGGGTAGGGACAAAACCCCCTTGGCGACATGGCCTTCGGGCCACATCCAGAGCCTCTGCTTGGGCATCTCACACCTCAGCTTCCCTCCATGTCACTCTCCACTCCCACCCAAACACCAGTACCCATCCTTCGTTGCCTTTCCATGTCACTGCGGATTCTGTCCTGCTTGTTATTATAGTGGCCTCAATACCCATGAGCTGGGTACTGACTGTTGGAGCTGGAGTGTGCGTGTGCACATGTGCACTTGTGCTCATATGTGTGCGGTGAGGGACTGAGCAGCAGAACAGGGTGCGTGCAAGGCTGGGCAGGGGATGGGCCAGCAGGGCATGGCTTGGAGGTGGAGGGAGCAGTCCTGGGACTGATCGCCAGCAACAGGCACATAAACACAGCCACCTGCCTCTGGCCTGTGGGACTGACGTGCTCTCTCTTCTCGAGTCCAGTTTCCAGCTAACAGTGGAGATGTTTGACTACTTGGAGTGTGAACTGAATCTCTTCCAAACGGGTGAGTCTCTTCTCTCTGTTGCCTGGTTCCCAGCTGGCTTCTCCACTGGGCACAGCTGTCGCAGCCCGCACTCACCCTGCTGCCTCAGTGCTCACGAGTGAGGCTGTTCACACCCGTCTCTGCCACCTCATTCCTCATGCCAGGAGGGGCTGAAGCTCTTCTGTATTTTCTTTTTTTTTTTTTGGCAGAACCAGGGATTGAACTCAGGTGTATTTTCAAAGCTGTTAGTTTCCTATCAGTCAGAAAGGTCCTGCAGGCCTTCCTCCCGAGGCCTGGGTCTCTGAGGTCTACAGATGGGTCTCGCCTCTCTGACAGCCACAGTCTGTGGCTGCGGCCTGGGCTGTCCTTTGCTTCCTTCTTGTGTCATCAGAGCTGGGCTATCCCTCAGGTTTCCACTCAGAATGTATGGCTTATGTCTGCTGCCTAGTTGACAGCCATGTAGCCCAGCAAGCCCTGCTCAGCTGGCAGAGGCGGCTGCTCCCAGCCAGGCTTCCTTGTGCTGAGACCTCAGGTGCCCCCCGATCCTTGGCTACTGACGCTTCCCAGGCGCGCCTTGACTGCTGCCTTTTCTGCAGTGTCTCTCTTCCCCTCACCTTCCAGCTGGGCTCTGCTCCTTTCCCTGAGGGACATAGAAGCCCAAGTCCTGAGATTCGCCATGTTTCTAGACCAGGATGTGACTAGAGGAGCACATGGCACACCGAGCGTCTTGCACGTGCTGGGCAGCCTCCTGCGTGCACGTTTAGGGCCTGAGCTTGGGCTCAGGCTCTCTGGTCCTGAACTGCAATTTCCTTGAGTGTGTTTAGCCAGGCGGCAAGAACCTCCTGTGAGTGTCCTGTTGTAGCACTGGCCAAGGCCTGTGCCAGTACACAAGTTCCCTAATACTTTGACCAATCAGTTCAGCATAGAATATGGGCAGAGAAATGCCAGAAACAGTGGGAAATTGTGATTTGTGGAGAAAAGAAGATAGCAGGCTGGTAGCAATGTATTTGAGCAGGGCCTTATATACAAGTAATAAATTTGCTGGGTGCAGTAGTTCACGCCTGTAATCCCATTACTGGGGAGGCTGAGGCAGGAGGATTGTCATGAGTTCAAGGCTAGCCTGGGCATTCTAGGCTGGTCCTGAACTACCTAGTGAGACTCTTGTTTAAAAAAAAAATTCAATAAATATGTAAGAAATAAAATACAGACTGTGTGTGGCATTCCTGGTCCCATGAGAGAAGTGGTATAGATACATCCATTGTTCTTTTTAATTGGAAGGACTTGCATAAAAGAATGTGAACAGAGCTAGGCATGGTGGTGCATGCCTTTAACCCTGTCACTTCGAGGCTAATAAGACAGGAGAATCTCAAGTTTGAGTCCCATGTGGGTAACTAAGCACAGACCCTGTCTCACAATACTGTAAAAGAATAAAAAGAGAGGGTATGAAGCTCAGTACCAAGGCCCTGGGTTTAATCTCCAGTGTCTCTTTAAATGAAATTATGAATGAAGGCTGGGGATGTAGTGTGACCACAGATGGCCACCAGCTTACAATGGGTGGGGACTTGGGGTTTTCCAGCCTTTGAGGTGGTGGGAAGCATGCCCATGCAACCAGCCTGTTTGCACCCTCTCTTCTCAGTGTTGAGTGGATGACATGAGCTAGACAGCATTTTATATAAAATACACTTTGTGTTAGATGGTTTTGCCCAACTGTAGAGTAATGTAAGCATCCCCCACACTGAGGTGTTAAATGCATGTTTTTAATCACACTATTTTATTTACAATAGACGTAACTGGGACACAATCCCATCGTATGTTGGGGAACAACTATATTTAAATTGATGACAATTAGATAACTCATAAAAGTCAAGTCTTAGCTGGGCACCGTGGCACACACCTATAATCCCAACTATTCAGAAGGCTGAGGCAGGATTGTAAATTAAGGATCAGCCTGGAAAACTTGGCAAGTTTTCATCTCAGAATAAAAATCAAAAGCATTAGGGGTACAGGTCAGTAGTAGAGCACTTGCCTAGCATGTGTGAGGCCTCCAATTCCAGGAAAAAACAAAAAAACAAAAAGCCAGGTCATCAATTGCACAGGCCATGTTTCAAGAGAGCGCATACTGAGAACATTTGCATCATCACAGGAATCTACCCGGGGGATTCTCCTGGAGGCTAAAGCTTGTCAGCTGCCAAGCTACAGAATACGCTCTCCAGCCTTGGCGATTGCTCGTAAGCATCACCAGGGAGTCTTTGGAAAACTACCAAGGCCTCAACCCTACCCCGACCAATTCAAACACAGTGGAGGCCTGAGGGGTGGCCGGGGCTTTGCTGTGTCCCACATGGTCCTAATGAGCCTCGACTCCAGAAAGCTCCACAACACACTCTGGGCTCCACATGAGTACCTTCTCACTGGCCTCACAAGACCCTTGGAGACATGTGCTCCTGTGACCAGGGGCCCTGAGAGGCTGACTTGTCTGCTGCCACCTTGCTGTAGAAGGCGCTGGGCGCCAAGGGACATCCCTGGAAGGCTTTGGGAAACCGGGCGAGCAGCCCGGGAGATGGAGCCGGCTGTGCTTCCTTGCCAGCGTGCAGCCGAGGAAGCCAGGAGACATGGGTGGCTGCCTTGCAGTGACAGCTGCTCTTAATTTGCCTTAAGAAGAAAAGCTGCCTTTTAATTAGAATTGTTTGGGATTTTTTTTTTTTTTTTTTTTTTGAGCTGCCAGACTAACCCTGTTATAGGGAAGCTGGGGAGACAGTGCACGTGCGACTCTGGGCTTCCCTCTTGCTGCTCCGCCCACAGGAGGACCTCAGGGAAAGTCATGTCATTGCCTGCCATGTGCAGAGTCCCCGGTGACAGGGAGCAGCTGGTGTAAGAAAAAAACCCCACCCTGGCCAGGGTGAGCTGAGGGTCTGCAGCCAGGCGGCCAGTTGCTGGGTCCAGGGACTCTGGCAGGGGCAGCCGCTGGTGGAGGAACTGCAGGAGCAGCAGGAGGGTAAAAGGCAGCATTGTTCCTGATGGCCCCCATTGCTTGGGTCAGCCTGAGAGCCCCGTGGGTCAGCTCCTAAGCCCTTTTCTTTGGCCCCTGTGGGCTCTCCAGTTGTCACCAGGTCTCCTGCATGTGTCCCCCGTTTTCAGTGCCCTGACAAGCAAGTGGCAAGCCACAGCTGAAAGATTCCCTTTGTCCTCTGATCAGTGTCTGATGTCTCCCCACATATGAGCTAGTATGATTGCCAGGTCTGGTGCTTCCAAAGCTTAGGGATTACCATCAGACTGTGTCCATGCATGGACTCAAAGTAGGCAGAGTAGGCTCTGAGTCAGTAAACCAGGGCCAGCCACAGTGCTGTGAAGCAAGCCAGGTTGGCTAGCTCCGTAGCTCCTTCCCACCCTGAAAGTGGCTTGTAATAACACTGAGGGCTGACTTGAATAGTACTGCATCTCCCCTTAGATCAGAAGCTCTAAGCAAAGTGTTGGGTGCAGGGATGGAAACTTAGGAAGCTTCTTAGAGACAGAGAGGAAGGGCATCTCCTAGAGTAGTTGCTCTCCCAGGCTGCAATTAAATCTTTTCTTTCCTGGGCTGCCTCCTGGGGTTTTGCGCAGGGTAGAACCTCGCTTCCCTGTTCATGACACACCAGGTTGGTGGCCTGTCCTTAGCAAAGGCACTAGATCAAACCATTGGTGGACTCTGCTGAGTCTTTCTCTCGGTGCAGCTACTTCTTGGCTTTGTGACTGCCTTCAAGTGACTTAAGTTCCATTTCTACCTGTATAGTGGGGATACTTTTCCCATCTCAGGAGGGTCATAAGGTTTAAATGTCCTAGACAAAATAATGCATGCACAGGATGTGTGTACCCCATGTGTGTTGGACCCCCCACCTTTGCAGGCCACCCTATACTTGCCTTGCTCTATTGCTTTTCTCCCCCTTTTGTTTCCCAGTGTTCAACTCTTTGGACATGTCCCGCTCCGTGTCAGTGACGACAGCTGGGCAGTGCCGCCTTGCCCCGTTGATCCAGGTCATCCTGGACTGCAGCCATCTCTATGACTACACTGTCAAGCTTCTCTTCAAACTCCACTCCTGTGAGTTCGAAGCTGCAGCCACTGCATGCAGCTTGGGCCATGGGGAGGGTCACAGACTGAAGATTTCCTGGGAGCAGTGTACCCCCTTTCAGTGCCCTGGGCCTTCTGCTGCTGATACAAAAGGCCCCGGAGCTCCTGGCCATAGTGAGCGAAGGGGCCAAGCCTTGATGTCTGCAGGCTGCTCACCTCTCCTCCTCTAGCTCCACCATGTCACCAGTCCTCCAGGCCATCGTGTGTTCTAGGACCCGTACAAAAGTCTGTCCAGACCTACATGAGCTAAGACAGAGATCTCCAAACTGTCAGCACCAGCCCTTTATACAGATGGAATTTGATGCAGAAATAGAAAATGAGGACCGCCAAGCCTCACGGCAGGTCCCTAATGATCATACAAGCTTTCCATAGTTTTGTATACTTCCTGTTTAAAATGATGTGTCTGGGCTAAACTCACTGCTTAAGGAAGTCTCTGGTAGGATCTGTGTCAATAATGTACATCACCATATCAGTCTGACCAAGGTGGGACTTGGGCCGCGCTCCAAGGCAGCCACTGTGAAGGGTATACTCCACTGGAGATGTGTGTGAAGGAAAACTGGGAAAAACCAAAGCTTAGGTGGATACAGTCAAGGGTTTGTAGTGCAGAAGGGATACAGCTGTACTTTACGGGGGGGGGGGGGGGGGGGTTATCCACAGCTGTGTTCACAGGTGAATCATGAATCCAGGTGTCTGATGAGACAAGAGGAACAGCATCTAATGGAGCCAGCCGGGAAGATTGGGATTTGCCATTCAGGGATTAGAGAGGTTTAGGGCTGGCCAAATAATTCAGCGGGTTAAAGCGCCTGCTTAGGTAGACACAGGAGCTGGGAGTTTGATCCCCAGGCCTGCCTTGCTGGCCCCGTCCCGGGGGCACCCTGAGATACCCTGACTGGGACTGGGCGTGGTGGCATGTGCTTGTAATCCCAGAACTTGGGAGGCTAAAACAGGAGGATCACTATGAGTCCAATCTACACAGTGAGACCCTGTAGACCCTGTCCTAAAATAAAAAGAGAGAGAGAGAGGCAGGCAGGCAGGCTTGGGACAGTGGCTGTGCGAGGAGGGAGTGGAGAGGGTAGGCTGAATCCCGAGAGAAGGGAAGTAGTTTTTAACATGCTACAGAATTGCCATGCAAGAAAAAAAAGAAAATTGCCATGCAGCAGAACAGTACTGGTTTCCTGCAAGGTGGTGAGTTTTGAGAAGACACGAGTGATTAGATGAAAAAAACTTCTCTAAAAGCAGGGCAGTCCATGAGACCCACACTGCAAGCCTCCGGGTCGGGACCCTGTGTGCCCAGCAGCGGGTAGGGAACGCCAGACAGTACAGGTTAAGTGTCCCTTCTCCAGAGTGCTTGGGAGCCAAAAGTTTGGAATTCCGCAGAGTTTAGGGTGTTTGCACAGACTTTCCTAGTTTGATGTCTATAATCCGTAAATCCAATCCAAAGGTTTAAATAGGTGTGGGTTTCAGACCATTTCAGTGTCTGAGCATTTTGGATTTCTAGTTTTCAGATTGGGGATTCTCGAGTTGTATATACATCTCTAAAAATAAACATTTATTTTTGTTTCAGATGTACAGATGAGTTATAAAACAATAGAATTCCAGGTACCCCAAACCCAGCTCCTCTTCTGGTTTTGTTTTTTTCTTTGAGACAGGGTCTCGCTAGGTAGTTCAGGCTGAGCTTGAATTCACTATGTAGCCCAGGCTGGCCTTGAACTCACAACAGTCCTCCTGCCTCCGCTTCTCGAGTGCTGGAATTACAGGCATTCAGCCCATGCCTGGATTGTTTATGTTTTATTTTATTTTTTATTAATTTTATTGAGAAACAAATAGCAATGAGACAGTTTCAAAACAGGTTAGTAGGACAGTTACAATAATTAATACATTGCATATTGTTGTCTTCGTAGTAGTTATTCATAGTACAAGATGCAGATATGACATCCTATCCAAACACTATTAGTGCAAATCTTTTTTTGTGTGTGGGTTTTTGTGTGTGTGTGTGTTTTTGTTGTTGTTTATATTTTAGGTGGTATATTTGTCACCACTACTGAACTAGTACTTTATTCAGATTGTTTATTTTTAATTACTGAGGTTTTCCCAGTTTTTACCCTCTTTCTGTCCTGGGATCCCATCCAAGATCCCATACAACATAGTCATCTTGTCCCTTAGACTGTAGGATTTTCCAAGAGTTCCCTTGTCATGATGAAGGTTTTGAGTATCGATCAGGTTTTTCTGTAGAATGCCCCTCAACTCTGTTTTTCAGACATTTTTCTCACAATATGACTGTGGTTGAAGGTTCTTATGTGAAAGATCCCAGAGATAAAGTGCCATTTAGTGTAGTGCCCGCTTCTGCCCCGCACCCTCCATACCAGACCTCGGGGCAGCTACTGGGGAGGACTCAGGCCCACTCGGCTGGCCCACTCTGCAGCCCCGCTGCAGCCAGGCGCTTTAGTCCTCCCGGCTCATGGTCTTCCGATTTCCCCCAGGTCTCCCAGCTGACACCCTGCAAGGCCACCGGGACCGCTTCATGGAGCAGTTCACAAAGTAAGTGGCCCGAGGGGGAAGGAGGGCAGTCAGAGCATGCTGTGGAGTCAGTTACTCCACATGGGGCCTGTGCCTTGAAAGCCTTAGCAGCGGCAGAGATCTCTGTATATCTATAACATGACAGAGAACAGCTGAGACAGCAGTAAGCCTACCAGTGGCTGGGAGGTTCCACTGGCACTTCCAGAAGGGGTCTCTGAGAAATCCCACAGCAGGATACAGGAGAGAGAGGTGTCACCTGTCACGCTTTACCTGCTTTGTGTTAAGACATCCTCCTCCCCACGTCCTCTTTCATGTTCCCTGGTCTGATACCATTTACATGCCGATAGCTCCCAAGCATGTATCTGCAGCCAGGCCTTCTCAGCTGTAGTCTCATGTACCCATTTTGACACCTCTATGCCAGACTTAAACTTTAGGTTTTTCCCAATGAAATATTTTCCTCCCAGTCTTTTCTGTCTCAGTAAATACTGTCATTGTCTACTTAGGCCAGGAATCTGACCCTCAATTTCTACCCCATGTCTAAGTCCCTCCACAGATTGAGTTCACGCCCTAACAGTGCATCTGGCTCCATCCAGGTTTCCATCTTTCAGCAACCACTGTGGCCTGCCAGGGCGCTCCAGTACTTTCTGATCCCTCTCCTTCCTGTTCCCTCCTCTGCAGGGCCCTTCTAGCCTGGCCATCTTTGGTCATCTTTTGTCACCCTGTGAAGGCAAACTCAGGCCCTGTGGGTTAAGTCAAATTGTTCTCACTGTCTCCTGATCATCCAGTCCTGCCCTACCTCATATCCTCACACACACTATCTGTTTCTCTCACAAGTTCTTAGCACAACTTTATTTTTGTTTGATCATTTTATCCATTACTGTATCTATGGCATCGCCTCCGACAAACAGCAGTCAGTGACGTGCATACAGTGGCTGGTAAGCCCTAGAATGAATCAATGCACTGACAAGTCAGCTCTGTAATCTAGGAGAGATAGAGCTTGTCCAACTAAGGAGTGAATCATGCTGGTACATTCAATGGGAGACATGAATGACCCAATGAGAAGTATGGCTCCTCCCTAGAGTAAGTGTCCCAAGAAGAGAGCAGGAGAGGCTGGGGAGATAGCTCAGCAGCAGAAGTGCCTCCCTGGCAAGTGCAAAGACCTGAGTTCAATTTATTCCCAGTACTGCATGCTGTGCCAACCCCGAAACCCAGCGTGGTAGCATATGCATG